TGGCGGTCGCACACGGTGCTCACCAGCGCCGCCTTCTCGGAGCACAGCTGCAGCGCCGTCTTGCCGAAGATGCCCACCACGCACAGCTCCTCCTCGCCCGCCGCCGTCTCCGCGCCCTGCAGCAGCTCCCGCAGGCTCACGGGCGCCGCCATGACCGCGCCGGGCAGCCGCGCATGCGCGGAAGGGCGCGGGGAAGCTGCTTCCGCCCGGAAATGCCGCTGCGCGCACATGGGCTGCCGGGCGGGCCTGTCACGTTCGCCCCCCGAACAGAGCCTGGCTTTCGGATCCGAGTGTTGAGGCAAAGCGGTTCGGACACGGGGCTGGGCGTACCGGGAAGAAGGGTCGTGTAAGCACGCAGGCTAACGTTGTGCACTGCTGTTATTGCTTTATACCGCGCTGCTGAGCCGCTTAACTGTATTAGTCATGACAAAAGCGGAGTTAAAAGACCCTGGAGGTGCACTGCCCCAGCTGGGCAGCACCTCCAGCCCCACTCTCACATGGCAGGGGGGCTCAATCTGCACCCCCGTGCTCCTTCCCCTCCATACACGTACCTGCAGGGCGCTGCTTTCCCACCTGCTGACTTATTTTCCTGGCCGTGGGCATGCATACAATGCTCCCCCACCCCAAGCAGGACCCCTTTCAGGCTGCATGCTACCCACCTGCCAAGGGAAACCAGGCACCCAGCGGGCCCCAAGGGCCTGTGCATTAAGCTGCCTCTGGTGCCCAGCTCCTGAAACATCAGCCCAAGGCCAACGGTGAATGGTGCAGCCAGCTGGAAGCAGCGCGGTGTGGAATGCAGCAGCTTGAATGGAGAGTGTTTCTTCAGAAGTCTGGTGAAGGATCCCCTGGAGAGCTTCCCCAGCATGTCTCGCTCCCCCACTTAAAAACTGCAAAGCCAGGGAAATACACTGCAGCCAACACCACCTCTGTCCCGTTCTTTGATATTATGTGCATGTGCACAGAATGCCCTTCTGCTGTTTTAATTACGAGTGAACATCATGGTGGTCGATGTGGACGCATGGAGCACCTAATCATTGCATACCTTGCTTTGGGACCAGGCGGGCCCATGCACATTCCATTTCTGTTGCACCATTTAAGACCTCTGGATGCCTCATTATCATCACGACCTTTCTGTGTGGTCAGTATCATCGGCCTCATTTTACAAATGGGAAAAATGGAAATATATTTTATGCTTGCCCAAAGACACGTGGCCTGTCAGAGGGACAGCCCTGGCTGTGACTGTTCAATAGTCCTTTGAGATGAGGGGCTAAATCTTTTGTTATGTGGGAGGTGAGATGAAGTGCCCATAGTAGTTCTTTCTAGCTTTAAGATCTCAGAATTCAGGCTAGAGACATGCAAAGCAATTTAGACGCAGTACTTGGTGTACCAGGAAAAATGGTAGTATAAGAACAAACCAACGTCATACTTGTTGAAAACCTGTTATTACTTTATACCTTATTACTGAGCCACTTAACTGTATTAGTCATGACAAAGCAGAGTTAAAAATAAGCCTTTGAGTTAAAAGCTGTTAAACAGTATTAATTGAAATACTTAAATGTGCATCTCAGTCTCAGAAAGCACCACTGTGGCTGCATCTACACAAGACATTGACTGTGCGGTTGTTACTGCGCAGTCATTTAGTACTTGTATACGCAAGTACTAAATGACTGCATGGTAACCAGTGTTACTGTACTGTAGCGTACCCACACAGCTTCTTGGAGACACTGACTGTGTAATAGCTTGTTACTACTGCGTACTAGCATCACGTCACGCTTCATAACGTGCAACACAATTGCGTAGTAGTAATGAGCTAGTGCTCAGTCAGCATCTCATGTAGACACAGCTTGTAAGCAGCATTAACTGCTCCCTTTCTTACGGAAGAAGTCAAAGATCTGAAAGGACCAAGGAGAGACCTCACTCCTCTCACCCTTAGCATAAGTCCTGGCAGGTAAAGTTTGAGGCATAACGAAGATGTCACAAGGAAGGCTGAATTTTTCTGTGACAAGAACATTATCAAATAGCACATCTCATGTGTACTATACTTGCTTAAAACAAACATGATACCTTCGACACATGGATTTCTGACAAGTCAAACAAGTGGTATTTGACCCTCAAATTGTTATAAAAATATCAGCCACCCATCTAGTTCTGCTCATCAAAGCTGCTTGCAGTGTGTAATGGAGCTGGAGAGGGACTCTTGGGGTGAGCCATCTGTTTAAAAAAAAAAAAGAACAAAGTTACAATCAGTTTTAAATTTCAGCACGCTTACTTACACAACAGTGACACGGGAGCTTATCAACCGCTTCCTAAATATAAGACAATCCCTAGTCTGACATGGAAAATACTTTTAAACCTCAGATTCCTTCCAGCATCAACAGGAATCTTGTTCTATTTCTCTGTTTTCAGCTGGTGCTACAAACACTGCTACCATCCATACAGCCAGGGAACTTTGAGTCCAAAGCCACTGGATATTCCAACATATGGGACACATCCAGACAAGCACGCATGTGCAATTTGCAGTGCTGCAAACCGATCTGCAGCTCTGCAAACCACACGCCCCATACACGCATACATTTGCTGCACTGCTAATTAGTAGCATGTGGGCTTTTTTTTTTTTTTTTTTTGACACTGGGAGGAGATCCTGGTGTAAAAATCAATCAATCAATCAATCCATTAATCCACTCACTCTGGAAAGAAGTGGGATGGTCCATGTGGCTGTAGCGTGCACCACCCAAAACAAGAGCCTGGCTGGCCAGAGCCATGCTCCAGCTGCTGGCCAGGCTCCATGTGCCTGGATTGCCACCCCTGCAGCCCTAGGAGGCCCCCAGGATCCCAAGTAAGACTGCTGGGGCCAATCCAGGTGCTGGCCCCAGCCTCCCCCATCCCAACTGGGGCAATTTACCATGCGAGTGCACATGCAGGGGTGTTCCCCAGGAACAACCAGCAGCACTGCAAATATGTGCTGCTGATAATTGTCCCTGGGAAATGCATGTCCCAATGAGTCGGAACATGCCCATGGGGTGCACCCTTGTGACTATTGAGATTTAGGACATTTCTGGAAAGCCTCACATGAGCCCTGCCTACAGCAGAGAACATTTGGGGTCCAGGTAATAGGAAGACCCAATCACCCCAATTCCTCCTGCTTCCTCAAAGATACTCCGAAATTGAAAACTTTGATGGAAAAGGGAACGCAAGTGGGCAGTTTGTAGGTGTGCTTTCCACATCATGCAGAGGTCATGCTGAAGGAGAATCTTACCACACTCCTTCCCACATGTGTGGGCTGAGCCATTGATTAGGCTTTGAATTAAGCTCAAAAGATTCAAGTGCATTTCATATGATGCTACTAAGATTTAACATTTCTTGTGTGCTTATTACTCTCAAAGCACAGTACACTCATTAATTAAATGGTAGGCAGCATGAGGCACTAGGTATCATGAGACAAGGCTTAACTCCCAACTCTGCCAATGACCTGCTGAGTGACCTTAGGCAAAAATCACATCACATCTCTGTGCTTCAGTTTCCTCATCAGTAAAATGCACATAATAGCTCTCTTTGTGAAGCCTTCAGATTCATGGATGACAAGTTTGAGTGAAGTATAACTTATTAGTAGTAATTATGCACTCAGTTCTGCTTGCTACCAAAGGCTCTCACGACCCACTAAGGCATCTTATGTCTATGAAGTGCCATGCAAATCAATAGTGCTTTTTTGCAAGAGAAACATTCTTTGGAATTCTGTAGTTTATTACCAGCGATTAACTTTTTTCAACAAAGGAGCTGAAATTTGTCTTGCCTGAAATTTGCGCTTCAGTGCTTGAGTCATTATGGGTGTCAATCCTGTGCCAGTCGCCATGTTCTCTTTGTTGTTTAATGGAGTTCCACCAGGACTTCTGAAAAGACAACACGAACGTTAGGGGAAATAGTTTTTAGTTTTCTAGTTAAAGAAGAAGAAGAAGAGAACAGTAAGGAAGTTACCTCTTTATATCAACTCTTTTTAGATGTTTTCGAAGATCTAATTGATTTTTGCTGGGAGTGCTAATAATAAAAAACAAAAAATGTTAAAATCAATTTATTTCTCAAGTACCAGACATGAGGATGATGATGAACAAAATCAACTTTTCTATAGAACAAAGAAAGTAGAAGGTTTCTCACATTAAGAAGTTTGCAATTCGAGCTGGTGGTAGGTTGGATTTAGGTCTCAGATTAATGCTTTGTAAGTCTGAAACCGTAATTAATGCCCCGTGAGTCTTCACTGGTGATCCCCCCTAAAGGCACAAAGAACAATGTTACCACAAATGCATTTTAAAAGGCCCCACTGAACATACTGTCTATTTAATATTTATACTCTGCATGTTTTTAGTGCATTCTGACTCTTTAGCTTGTTTGAATCATTAAGATTTAATGTGCCTGGGATAAAAATAGACATTTTATAAAAGACTCCTGAGAAAAAAAAATGCTAGGGAAAAGAAAATACCTGTCCTGATAAAAATCAACACGTTTACAGAAATACTGGAACGCGGCAAGCCATCACCCAAGCTAAAAAGAACAAACTTTGCATAGACTCCAAACAAGTCATTTACCTTCCCTGCTTTAAACAGGCATCTGCAAAATGAGAACATTTTCAAATAACCCTTATTGGAGACTTGGAAGTGGAAGGATTATGTTGGTTATTGAGTCCAAATTCACTTTTGGCAGGATCTTTTAGATAGTCACTATGTTAGGGGTGAGTTTGGCCCTATGGCAGCAGCACATTTTGAAGACTGCATATTGAATGCTAAATAGCATTCAATATGCTATTTAGCATAGTGCTTAAGTTCATCAGCACTTAAGCATTTCTCCTAATGTACGAAGTGAATTAGCCCATTCACTAGATTTATCACCATTGCGCCAAATATGGTCTAAAACTAGAGAGCAACATACACAAAAGGATACGCTAGCTAAAAATAGGAATCCATAAATCATTCAAGACAGAGAAGGAAACCACAGCCCACACATGCTATTGTGGGAGGGGATAGCAGATATTCAGTCCTTCACCAGGGACTATTCTCCGAGGCAGGGCAACTGGGTGGTGCTTAAATATGTTTTTAAAAGGGTCTTTGCGAGTTGAACTGTCAAATGCAATCTCACAGCTGAAGAGTGCAGGCACTGGTCTTGGCTAATACCATGGCCTGAAATTCATGATATGGCCTTGAATGAGAACAGGAGTTCTGCCGAAGCCCAGAAAGACCAAGTTTACTTCTGGTCTCTGCATCTCTCTGAACAGCAGCAAAATGGCTTCCAAGGTTGGAAAATGTTGGCTTATATGGCAACCACTTTTGTATGGATACAGGAACCACGAGCAGAACCAAACTTCAAGTCAGAAATCCTGGATCTCGTGCACAGGCCAACCAGACAAGGTGTGCCCTGGTCACACCCAACAGGAGTCACCCTTCTACAACCACTACTCTGGGCCTGACAGAAAAAGGGGTTGTAGGGTTACAGAGAAATGCTATTATCTGCTCTGTGCATGGAGCCATCCTAGAGCTGGCCTCACTGCCACAGGGGTTCAATAACCCATCCACACACACTGGAATCCTACCGGTTCTACTGCGGGCAGTATTTGTCCCCTGAGCATGCTCCCCTTCTTTGGTTTACCTTATCTGGTCTTGTGCAGGGTTGGGTCTTCTTTAGTTTTACATTCAGGAGATCCTTCATTGTGATTTGTATGGGACCATCTTTTTTTACTGATACGGCCTGTTAACAAGGGAATAAAAAATTAGAAACTGTAAGCGTTGAATTCCTTATGGGTGCCGTACAACTCTGCACCCTGAACCCAACACCACTCAAAGACACAGAATAACCCTATTAATCCTTACCAGAGGGGCTTTATTGCCATTGACCCTTTTGAGAAGTAAAGGTGCTGGAGGGGGGCGTGGTGGGGGCAGTGGTGGTGGAGGAGGAGGTGGTGGTGGTGGAGGGGGAGCAGCTGCAGGTTGTAGCACTGCTGTAGGAGACCCAGATACCAGCTCTAGAAGGCTGATCTGTGCACATACAGGAGCATGTATTAATGGTTTATTACATCTTTGGCAAGGGGAGTTTTCTGAGGAACGAACCACAGTCCCGCTCATCTGGAACAGAAAAAAATATAAAATAAAAATTCACTCTCTGTCCAACGTACGGGAAAGTTCAGGAAATAGGGATTGTGACTCAGTTGAACCAAAATGCAAGGCCCAAAAATAGCCTGCCCTAGGTCTGATCTTTTAGCTGGCTACCTGCAGTCCTCCAGCTTCCAGGCTGTGGCACTTCAAGTGATGCTGTATGTATGGGACATTGAAAGTGCTTTGCAATGAAAGGAGATTAGGAAATGCGTATTCTTTCTATTTATATATGACATGTTTCCATACAGGATCTTAGGAACTGCTTTAGCAGTTTTACTGGATATTCAGGGTGGGATTAATTTGATCACCCAGAGTTAGAATAAAGCCCCTGTTCTGGTTTCCCTGCATTATACACTCCAATTGCATTCAGCGACTGAACGAAAGGGAAACGTTATAGTGATGCAAGGACATACCCCTGCCGCTCATTCTAAACAAGCAGTTCCCAGCATCTGTGCATAGCCCCTTTGGGGCTCCATGCAGACAGAATGGTCTCTTCACATGAAGCCAGCAGCCAGATTTGACAATGATTTTTACTTTAGCAATATTTTCACTATGGATCTTCATTTCTAACACTCTTCTTAAAGCCAAAACACTGTCAAGATTACAAAAGTAACACCCTTGATTAAAAAAAAAAAAAAAAGCATGATTGTAACAGTGGTGTGGACAGGAGTTTCAACCACATAGAATCATAGAGAAGTCGAGCTGGAAGAGACCTCCAGAGGTCATCTGCTCCAACCCCCCATCTGAGATAGGATCATTCCTCTTCAAACCATCCTACACACACCAAAATCTAAACTCTGCATAAGTCTACCATCAACCCCAACCAGGGCACAACACAGCCCTTATACCCTAACCTGCCACAGGAAAGCAAGGGCACCACAGCAGCTGTCGTCTGTGCTTCTACAGTGTTGTCAATATATGCTCAAGAGGTCCTATGCTCCCCCTTCCACCCCCACAACTACAGAGGAAGGCAAAACCCTCCCCAGTCCATACCAATGTAACCAAGGGGGAAAATTCCTCTCTGACCTCAAATCTGACAATCAGTCTGACCCTGAGCAGAGGGCATATATAAACCCCCAAAACTCCATTTCATTCTCTTTCAGTGAACAGATTTCAAATTGCAGGTGTCCCTTTAGCAGTGCACATACTTCTAGTTTTCCTCCCTGACCCCAGGTCCTTAAGCGTTTAGATAAACAAAAGAAGAAAAAAAAATCTGAGGCTACTAATGTAACTGCAGCTGACCTGGAGCATTCCTTGTAGTCTGGAAAATTCAGTTTCCAGCTTTTGCATTTCTTTCCTAAGCGCATTCAGCTCTCGTAGATATAAGCGGGATGGGAATATGGTGTCTTTGATGACTTCAAAACTCTAAGTACAAAGAAACAAGGTGAAGATGTTTATGGTTATATGCATTGAAAGTTTCATGCAAAACCCCATGTGACTTAGGAGCACAATCCCCACCAAAAGTCATTGGTCTCAGTCAGGAGACTTGTCATTGGCATGAAGGCACACAGAAAGGAAGTTTCACGCCTGTCATTTCATTTTGACTTTATCCGTCCTGGGGTCAGTGCCTGTCAATCAAAGAAGACTTGCTACATTTATGACATGTTATAATTGTCAAACTCTGATCCCAGCTGACGAGGACTAAAAGTAGGGTCACATTTCCTCAGAGCAAACTTTTCCTACAGATTCTCAGTTCTCACAGCTCAAATTTTAGCTGCAAGTGCTGTAGTATGGTCTATGTCTGATCCATTTGGGCTGTGAACCAACATCTCCTTCCCTGTTAAAAGGTGGAAACTGTGGCCCATGTAATGCAAATCTTTCAGCTACTGCAATAAGGTCTCCAACTTCACATATGATTTAGAAGTAAAATATTTCTGGGCCTCTTAACATACCCATTCCTCTAACTGAAACTCTTACTGATTTCTCCCAAATGCTGCTCTAGCAAGAGATCCTAGAAGTTTGTATATATTAGGCTTCATCTCAGTTTTGAAGAGAGGGACAGGTAGAGTGTGAGAGTGAGTGCACTGCACACACGCGCTACAATAATCTTACATCGACAAAAATAAACATTTGGAAAACCCACCTGTGCAATACTGTTCTGGCACCACGAGCAGACTGATGACACTGTCATTGCTAAGGGCTTTACTGCATTCTTCACAATGGGCATGGCTACACTCCAGACCGAGGGGCGGCAACTTTGGCTGCACACTGTGTTGGGAGGAGGATCGTCCACTGACCTACAGAAGATTTCAAACAGGGACATTTCAGCCATCTCAGAACGTAACTGGGGTCCGGCATCAATAGCTAGGTCAGAAACACCCGGTCAGTTTGGCATGAACTTTAGCACAGGGGGATGAAGGAAGGAAGTGACACGTTGAAAGCAACTTCCTACAGCTGTGGAAGAAATAAGATCAAACCCATTCGATTCTCAGAAAACCTAAATCACTGATGCTTCTTTTCATTACTGAACAGCAGATGACAGCTCAGCCAACCAGTTTCTCATAACTGTCAAGGTGCAGGGCACCAGCCAGACAGCTTGTGGCTGCTCAGTCTTTGCCCACGCAGCTCCGCTGTGCTCCTCCCTGCCCGGTCAGCAACGCCGCCTCTCCGTATTTCATTTGGCCGTTGTTTCACTCTCCTTCGGCCCACTGCTCCCTGAACAACTGTGTTGGCCAAGCTAGGATGTTTCATTAATGTGGCTAAAGCCATTCGACTTCCCATTCTTAACAGCATCAAGAAGCGACCTGTCATTTTCTGGCAGCAGCTGTGATCCCAGCTCTCGCAGCTTGATTAGCCTAGCGGGGTCTCAAACTTTTTACATTAGAGTCAAGGCTGTGAATTGAGAGGCGCCCCACTTTAGAAACCAGCACGACCTCCTTGCAGGGGGGGTGGGCAGTTGTCAGGGGGCCGCGCAGCCAACCCAAGCCTGCAATTATATCTGCTTATCTCTTCACACCCGACTTTTCCCGCCTGCGCCCATCAAAGTATCCTGTGGCACCCATGGGCACCCCACGCGAGAACAAGCAGTTTAGCCCCGAAATTACATCTGGAAATCGGTTGGGAGAGAACGCACCCGGACACAGTCTCTTCCACCCCTGATTTCGGACGATGCCACGTCGCACGTGGAACAAGCGATGACCCTCCCGGTGAGCGAGGAGGCTAAATGCATCCCAGGCGCCCTTGGTTTATTCATGTTTTAAGGAAAAACGTTCACTTCCCGAGTCAAATTGCTTCCAAATCCGCGTGAGTCGTTCGAGAACCACGCGGGACCCTGCTACCGGCAAACATCCTCCGCAACCCGGCAAGTGAGAGGGCTCGACGGGTCCCCGGCCGCCTACCTGGGAGCGGGGACAGCCAGGCGCGGGGGCGGTGAGGCCACACTCCTCCTCCTCCGCTTCTCCTGCAGCTTGGCCCGGGCCCGCAGCTCGCGCCGGCGCTGCTTGTACTTCACCATGGTTTCTAGAGAGGCACCTGGGGGACGTCAGAGGAGTCAAGCCCTGCCTGGAGGAAGGGAAGTGGCAAGGCCGGGGCCTGAGGCTACCTCCAGGGCCCACTTCCATCCCGCCTTGCAGCCCAGCGCCGGGGCCTTCGCACTTCCCCTCCAATTACGGACCCTCGGCCCTTCACCTCTTGACCTTTGGCCCGTGGCCCCGGTCCCACTCACCGCCCCACGCAGGCGCCTCCCTGCAATTCAAACCGCTCCGCCGTCGCGCCGCAGCCAATCACAGCCCGGCTCTCTGCGTCCCGCCCCCTCCCTGTTTCCATTGGTGGGAGTGATCTGGGAGCGAGGGTGGGTTGGGAGGTGGGTGATGCGGAAACCAATCAGATTAAAAGAGGGGGAGGGGGGAAGCCAATCAGGGATGAGTG